TCGTTAAACGCCTGGAAAGAGATGTTGTTGTCTTGCCTATATACTGTTTTTTTGAGGCTTACAGTCCCCAAGAGGGCAATTGAAGGCATAGACGACGTTGGTCTCTTTTAAAGCGTTCTTCTTTGTGCCTGGAGAGTTTCTCATGAGTAGGCTGGCCGTTTTTCTGGTTTTATAGTAAATCGTCAGTTGTATCTTCTGATTTTTGTCTGTAGGGATAACGTTTCTACTGACAATGACAAGAGATGTCATATCTAGTAGCCAGAACGCACTTCTCGGCCTACTATGCAAGGCCCGATTTGCATAATAAGCCAGGTTTTCCTGAATTAATATATTTTCTCTATTTTTTTTCTTATGAAATGATAAAGCTACCCATTTCATTATGTATGAGGTCAATTTTTTTGTATTGGGGTTAAAATTAACGTAGATATATGACCGAACCTAACCAACCCTACCTAACCTAACCTAACCTATCTTTATAGGTTAGGTTAGGTTAAGTAGCCGAAAAAGTTAGGTTAGGTAGTCTGAAAAACAATTCTTGAAAACTTGGCTTATTAGGCAAATCGGGCCTTGCATAGTAGGCTGAGAAGTGCGTTCTGGCTACTAGGTACGACATCTCTTGTCATTGTAAGTAGAAACGTTATCCCTACAGACTATCCATACAGACTATGCACAGACTACCCTATTCCAGTAGCTGAAGTTTATAACTTTTTAGACACTCAACCCACCAGGGGACTCGAACACTGGCCAACAAGGTGGCAGTTGCATGCTGTATCCACTACACCATACTACACATACACATACTACAACATACATATTGTCACGTAGGGGTGGGTGGTCCGGGGCTCTGCTAACACTCGGCTGCTAGGGGCTCAAAGGCCCATATACTCAGCCCCTCCGACTCCCTGGATTCACCGGAGTCTCCTTGGTCACACAAGAGAGGACCAACAATGCCCACCTCCGCAGGTCTTTGCTTCCACCACAAAGGGGTGCCACTGATTCACCCTGGAAGCCCTTCAGTCAAACACGGGGAAACTGCTGTTAACAGTTCCGGCCTAGACCCGTGGGGGAGTGAAGGAAGACTCAGGCTAACCTATAACCATGACCTCCCTGAGTCTTGCCTGCCAGACAAAAAAGGTTGCAGGAACTCCTTTCCCGCCTGTCTTCTCAATCTTCCTCTTAGCAAGGTCGCCAGCTGGGTTATTATATCTGCACCCCAGCAATGCAGTTCAGTGGGTGTATTATATATTGTTTGTAGCCAGAAATGTATGCTCATAGAGAAATATCATAAATGGAGGCACACTCAAACACAGTAATAAAATGTGTGGGTTTACTGATGCAAATTACATGAACACACACACACAATCACAAGTAATACATGAATATGGAATATGGATAATGAGTCTGGAGATCGTCAGCCTCTTCTTCCACGACCTCCAACACTCCTTCAACTGGGCAGGAAGACAGGCGTCTCACACTCTCACAGGAGGGCCTCTTCACCACGTCGGCACCTCTTCTTCACTGTCCTGTCATCCATACACACTGTCCTCTCTGACAATCCTGGACACAAGCTGCTTTGCAGCCTATTCTACTATTAAAGTAATAAAGTCTTGCTGCCACATACACAAGTAAATATTGTGGCCTAACTAGCCTACTCATACAAGGGGTAATGGGAGGGAAAAATGATCTACCTTACACTCCTGGCTCACGACGCCTGTCCCTCGATGGTGTGAGGTTTCCACGCTTCCTTGGGTCGATCCTTGACGATCCAGGACGTTCCACAGGTCCTCAGGTGTCGTGAAGCCTTCGCGTCGTCGCCGTTCCAATCCCTGAGATTCAGCTGCCCCAATCCTGGTTCATCGATGGGCGCTGAGCTAATCACTATTTTTTCCCACACTCGCCTCTCCCACAGGGCGTTGCTCCTTGTCCTAGGCACGGTGTCGTCCTTCCAAGATTCTCAGTGGATGTGACCCCAGTCACAGCTAGGCCTGCCCGCCCACCTTCCAGACCTCAACGTCCAGCCGGCGGCGCCGCCCAGCGTCGTCGCCGACTATTTTCCAAGTTTGGCAATCCTCTGCTCACTGAACTTGGTTCCTCTTTTGCTTCCCAGAAGCGCAGGGTCTCCAATAACTGCGATGGGCTGCGATGGCCAGCTCAATCCACTGAACAAGGCTTGCAGAGCCTCCAATCCTTGAGAGCAGACCGAGGCGCGTCCTGTCGCTTCCACGGTCAGAACCACTCTGACGTTGGCGCCGCCCGGGGCACTCGGTGACGTCATGGCGGGCCCTGATTGGTCGCCCGCGACCTACGTCGGCCAATCCGCGATCAGCCAATGTCCCTTCCAAAAGGTCATATCTGCCATAGGGGATACTGTTTCATTTTATAACAGGGCGCCAATTTTCCTTTATTTACAACTTATAATATAACTTCCTTCCCTTAACTGGCAGCCGGTCTGGTCGCCACATATATCATTAGACTCCCTGAACCTCAGAGAATCAGTAGGGAGAGCTGATATGACTCTTTAAGCCGGCAAACGAAAGAAATAGGAGAGGGCACCGTAACATACCCCTCCCCTTAAAATAAGAGTCATATCGGAAGAGCAGCACTCAAGAGGGCAACCTATACTCTTGCTCCCTCCGTTCCTGAAGTGTCACTCCTCCAGTTGGCGATGTGGCTTGTTCCACCTTGCCAGTCACTTGCCTCATTGTATCTCCACCTCGCATAGTACCGGGTGTGATGGGTGTTCCCTGAACACCTACAAGAAATCCCCTCTCCGTGGCTACGGGTGTACTCCCACGGCTCGTTACCACTGTAAGATTCAGTGCATGCGGCGCCTCCACCGCGTCGTGCACTCCGAAATAGTCTTGCATTTCCACTGCGTCCTACAGGTACTCCATGTTTCCTCTCATGATCTCCTCTTCGCCAATCTTCTCTCTTCTCGGTTCCTCTTCTCCCGTAGGTGCGTTGTCTCCTCACAGTGGCACTTGTAACCTGTACTCCATCCAGCAGCTTCCTCTCTTCCACACTAGGCTTTTGCGATGGCCCAATGCCCCTCTGGTTAGGCTGGCGCCTACCCTGGGTGTACCTATTCCCTGCTTTCTTTGTATTGCCTTTCCTATACCACTCGCTCCTTCGTTCCCGACGAACATCTTCACTCCTCCATGAGATTCTCTTCCCTGCAGACGTCTTCTTCGGTTCGTGGTTGGGCTCATCCACCTCCCTGTGGCTCACCTCACTACGGTGGTTCATCTTGCACCTACCACTATTCATCTGGCCGGCATAGGGTGCACTGCGTCGTGGCTCCTCCACTCTGCCCCTCACTGCCGTTCGCTCATCCACTGAGCTTACTTTATTCACGTTTCTGTATGGAGGGAGTGCGGTCTGCAGCCTCTTCACCGCCCCAGGCGTTTGTACAGCTGCTCCTCGCCACTCCTCCACACGTATCATCAGGCTTAGTCGGAGGTCCCCGTCGGGGTTTTCCACAACCTCCGACGACCTCTCTGCACTCTCGCCCTCGTTGTCGTCGTCTCTGGCGACGTTTTCCCTGGCAAAGTCGGCTTCCTCTCTATCATCTGGAACGACCGATACCTCACCCGGCAGGGTTGTACCGCTGCTTGCAACATAAGCACTCCTGGCCCAATCGGGTTGTATCTTACCTCCTCCGAGGTCATTGCCCAGCACCATCTGCACATGCTCTAGGGGTAACTTTGGGGCTACAGCTACTATAGCTTTCTCGACTCCGCAGTCGGCAATCAGCTGTACTTCGTGAAGTGGCAACCTGTATTCCTCCCCCACACTGCGTATCCTCACCACTCCCACAGGTGAATCATTAAATTCCTTGGGGAGAATACTCCTGGTCACCATACTTATGTCAGCACCCGTATCTCGAAGCACGGCAACCTCCGCTGGGTCTGACTTTCCAAACTTCACGTTGGCCCCGAAAACGAAGGGATGTTCACCCAACTTCATTTCCCAACCATTCACGTTGGGTCCACTATAATATGGGGTGTGAACAAACACTCTCTCCTCTTCCAACATTAATCCTACATTCCTTTGGTGCTCCTCACACTTCATTTTATAACAGGGCGCCAATTTTCCTTTATTTACAACATATAATATAACTTCCTTCCCTTAACTGGCAGCCGGTCTGGTCGCCACATATATCATAAGACTCCCTGAACCTCAGAGAATCAGTAGGGAGAGCTGATATGATTCTTTAAGCCGGCAAACGAAAGAAATAGGAGAGGGCACCGTAACAATATATATATATATATATATATATATATATATATATATATATATATATATATATATATATATATATATATGTCGTACTTAGTAGCCAGAACTCACTTCTGAGCCTACTATGCAAGGCCCGATTTGCCTAATAAGCCAAGTTTTCATGAATTAATTGCTTTTCGACTACCTAACCTACCTAACCTAACCTAACCTAACTTTTTCGGCTATCTAACCTAACCTAACCTATAAAGATAGGTTAGGTTAGGTTAGGTAGGGTTGGTTAGGTTCAGTCATATATCTACGTTAATTTTAACTCCAATAAAAAAAATTGACCTCTTACATAATGAAATGGGTTGCTTTATCATTTCATAAGAAAAAAATTAGAGAAAATATATTAATTCATGAAAACTTGGCTTATTAGGCAAATCGGGCCTTGCATTGTAGGCTGAAAAGTGAGTTCTGGCTACTAGGTACGACATATATATATATATATATATATATATATATATATATGTCATACCTAATAGCCATAACTCACTATTTGGCCTAATATGTAAGGATGTCGTCTCAGTTAATTCAGCAAGGCCACTGTCGTTTCTGGCCGAATGTACACAAGTTGTCCAAGTATGCACAAATTGTAACTGCCCATTAAGCGAAGAAAGCAGGCTCGTGATTGGTCGATAGTCACCTGACCGCGGTAAAGTGAAGTAGCGACATAAGGCGGGGTCAGTCATATATATCAGTGTCAATCAGATACCCACACGATGGATACACTCGAATCAGTACCTTCAAGTGCTCCAGCGTCATTATTGACTTGTGGACAAAGAAGTGAAAATGAAAAGAGAGACGAAGAAGTTCGTCACAAACAAGAATTTGAGCTTCAGATACACCAAATGTTGTCAAAACCACGCGGGGAACCTCGAAAGGTTTTTAGTTGCGAAAAGGTAAAGAAATACATTAGTGAAGTATATGCAGCTAAACTTAAGAAGACTACAAAAACTTCCCGTGAATACGATCTGTTGTCGCGATACGATGTGAAAAACATGTTCGGAGAAGACATTCTGGTCACCGTAGATGAAACCGAGAAGAGACTGAAGCGGGGAATGAAACGCAAGTTAATTAGCTCAACATTAACAGCAGCAGCAACCTCCGCATTAGACCCCCAACGTGTATACCGCAGATTTATACACCAGGGGCAACTATATGACACAATTTACGACGCCCATAACGCGGTCTGCCATGGGGGGAGAAAAAAGAACTTATTTTCAAGTAAGCAAGACGGTTGCTAACGTAACCCAAGAAGAAGTAAAACTATTCATTTCTTTATGTCAAATTTGCAACTTAAAACGTGTTCCCAGACGTAAGAAAGGGGTAGTTAAACCCATCGTGTCTGAGAGTTTCGGAGAGAGAGGACAGATGGATTTGATTGACATGCATAAGGATGGGGGATGTCTGTTCAACTACATTCTTCATTACCAAGACAATCTAACCAAGTTCTCAGTTTTCCGACCTCTTCGCTCTATACAGGCGATAGAAGTTGCTCGTCACTTGCTGGATATCTTTACGCTCATTGGAGCCCCTCGATATCTGCAAAGCGACAACGGTCGTGAATTCGTGGCGGCAGTGATTCATCAGTTTCGGACAGAATTATGGCCCAAGTTAATCCTAATAAACGGTAAGCCCCGGCATCCCCAGAGTCAGGGAAGCATAGAACGGGCCAACGGCGACATTACAAAAATGCTTGGGAGTTGGATGTCTGAGAATCGAACTCGCGATTGGTCAGCCGGTCTTCCCTTCGTACAATTTGAAATAATTAGAATTGAAATAATTAGAAATGAACCCAAATTAACAAATACTGCACAATTTAATGAATGATTAAAAAATATATAAAAATATGACTGTAACTACCTGTTACCCTACAAATCAGTATGACATCTTAATGATCCATTGTTAACATTTATGAACCTAAGATATGTTTAGCCATGATGTTAGCCTCTCTGGAGATTGGGCATCTGATTTGTTATGTCCTGCTACCAATTACTTAAATAATATTGCTTACTAGTGTTGCAAGGAGAGTTTACATAATCCAGATTCTAGTAGTAGTAGGCATCCATCAGTCTCAGGAGATTATGGATTTGCACTCTGGTTGTTGCTCTGGAGTGGCCTCTCCAGGGCGCAAAGCCAGAGTAGGTTGATATGGAGGAGAAGCTGTTACCCATGCAGCAGGTCCCCCCTCTCCACGGCGCCGAAAGTCTCCAATGAAAAGGCAAACGCCAATACGACTGGTAACAGCGCCATCGCAGGAAGTGATAGCTCGGGAGTTGACTTCGAAGAAGGTGAAAAAAGACACAAGGACTCCAAACCCAGAGACCGCCGTGGACGTGGCCGGAGAAGCACCACCCCATCAAGGGCATGAACTGTCCCAGCCTCCTGAAGCAGAGCCTGGGCCGCACGACCCTTGGGAGGTGGACGGCCCGGTCCCGCACCGACGGGTTCCAGACAGAGATCGTCACGGCCCTCTTCCACCCGAAGCCGGCTTCCCTCAATACCAAGCTGATGTATGAGTAATAATTATTAAATACAACAATTATTATTATAATAAACATTATAATAATAATATAATTAATTAATAATTATCACTCTTCCTTCTAGCAAGGAAGAATGATAATTAATTACCAATTCTGGTAAATACAACAATAATATTTATATTGTTGTAACTACTTTACAATTAGGTTATGTAACTTTCTCCCAAAAACACTTGAACTCTATTTGCATAAGAAGTATGTTATCTTGAGATGATTTCGGGGCTTTTTTAGTGTCCCCGCGACCCGGTCCTCTACCAGGCCTCCACCCCCAGGAAGCAGCCTCTGACAGCTGACTAACACCCAGGTACCTATTTTACTGCTAGGTAACAGGGGCATAGGGTGAAAGAAACTCTGCCCATTGTTTCTCGCCGGCGCCTGGGATCAAACCCAGGACCACAGGATCACAAGTCCAGGGTGCTGTCCGCTCGGCCGACCGGCTCCCTGGGTAGGAACATAACTTTTGCAAAATGCATAATTGGTTTAATATGAAAACTTGCATATACAAACTTATGTTAATTTTTATTTGATGAACAAACTAATTTAATTTTGTACATACATCTTTACTTAGTCATTAATTTATATATACCAATTGAACCTGAACAAAATTATTTGGTTGTCGACAACAAAATCCTTTGACGAAAATATATTAACAAATATTTTTTTCAGCTTTATTACCTTACTCCCAGATAAGGTAATCTTGTCCTGCATCACGAAGGCCAGCAATACCTTCAACTGATATGGAACATAGTAAAGTTGTCAAATTCTCTTGATAGTCAATGGTGTAGTGTAAGATTCTCCACCACCTATACAGTATATTAACATAAAGCTACATAAAGAAACACAGTATATAAGTACATATATTTTAATTGTACACTTAATATTTTCCAAACACTGATAAAGTGTCTGGAGAATGATACCAAAATCCAATCTACTGCATTTCTATTGTAGGGCACAAAAGCTAAGATTTATATCAACTCTTAATACAAAGAACAACAGTGCATGCAAAACATAATGGAATATAACTATCTTTAACATATGTACAAAAAATTATGTATAAGACTATTAAGCCAGTCGGCCTATTACGTTTCTAGCGTAATACCTACATTACAATTTTAAAGAATAGATTATATTGATGAAGTTGAGTGTCTTAAGTATTTTATTAATTTCTTGGTTAAATAATAGGAATATCAAAATAAATAGAATATTGACTAGGTATATCAAAGGTATTTATTTCTGGTGTGGTGCTCATGGGTTCCATCACATCAATCAAGGAAGCGTTTTACATCAGCATTATTATTTGGGGATAAGTTTTGTACCTGTAAATTTTTCAACCAGAGGATTATAAACCCATGGAACAAACTACTCGCTGAAGCCGTAAATGCCAAAACTGTTGAACTTCAAAATCAAGTTAGAAAATATCATTAGCCCAATTGGCAGGATCTTTAAGCCACCGGGTTTCTGTTCTCGTCGAGGACCACTAGAGAGTTAGTGGCCCTTGGGTAAATTCTGGTAAATATATACAATAATTGTCAGCGCATCGCATCTCAATCGTCCAACCGACAACAAAAGCTACACAATATCTCTTAGAATTACGTTGGCCCAAAAAAAATGTAACATATTTGTTTACAACAATGACGGTTCTGGCTGTAGAAGTTAAAGAAAAACATAGTTTTACTTTGAAACATCATAATTTTATAAGAAAATTCGACGTAAATAGGTGGCAGGCGACCGCCGATGATCTCCGATAAGCCAGCGTCGTTATTGGCTAAACCTGTAAGATGAACAATGTTACCTTCTCTCCGATTGGCTAAACAAAAAGCCCTAGTGACATCTATCGAGAATGAAGTGAACTACATCAAAATTTTGAATAGCTGCGTACGAACACCTTCCTGAATCGTACGTAGGGTTATACTTACCGAGTACTTAAGAACCTTCGATGCACAGCTGCTTAAGAAAAAATACCTGGCGCTTCATGAATCTGGGTCCTGAAGCAGAGCTTGGGCTGCACGAGCCCCAGGAGGTGGACGTCTGAGGCCAGCATCTATGGGTTCCAGACAGAGATCGTCACAGCCCCCTTTCACCCTAGGCCGGCTTCCTTCATGACCCAGCAGAAGAAAGAGTAATAATTATTAATTATTTTTATAATAATAATATAAATAATTTTAATCTCTTTCTTCTACTGAAGGAATATCCCTTAAAAAAATAATGTACAACAATAAGATGCTAGATGAATCTTAGTGTGATTGGAGTCTGGTATTTAACGAAGTTGGAATTTAATGTATAGAAAGTTGAGAACTTTGTGAGTAACAATGTTAAAATATTACGTTCCTTTAGTGTACATCAAAGACCAATCTTTCCACTTACGGTTCTCCACCGACACCTATCGGCCACAATGCAATTTAGTGAGGAATACTTTTTAACTCGTTACAAATAATAAAAAAAGGTTTCCATTGGAAATTGCACATATAAAGTAGTTGAGTTCAGTCGGTGTCGGTACAGAGTGCCAGACGCAGGCACTCTGGTGCTGACACTGCAGTCCCAGACACCGTCCCCCTCCTGGCTGGGAATAACGCACCACAGCCGGACTGGTACGACACCAGCATCTTAAAGCTGTGTGTCAACCTCAACAACCACAGGAGAGAGATTCATTGCCCGACCTTCCCCGCAGGTGTTATCCCCGATAGCAATGTCCGCCAAGCGACTGTGTAATTCCACGACAGAAAGACCATAGAGCCTCCATCAGCCTCAGGTGAGAGGAGATGGTTAAGGTAGTGGAGTCGGGTCAGGGTGTATTACCGAAAGCACCATGGCTGTTATTATCTCTGTTAGCCATTCAGCAATTTGGTCTGCAGCCAAGTCGTCTCCGGCTATGTCAGGGAAACCGTAGTTGTCCTCGATGTGCCTGCAGAACGCCTCCTTGTTGGTTACGAGATTCAACATGGACTCCATATCTCTTAAATACAGAGGTTTAGATGGATCAGTGTGGAAGCTAACTTCACTCGTAATGGTTACCTGGAGGTCTTCATGACGCATATCAATCAGTAGCTCTGAAACCTGTCCATCGCTCGAGGGACGAAGCTCTATAGAGGTGACAGACCAAGGATGCCGATCCTTCGGGGAGTGCTCAACGTCTCGGGCTGGATCCATGTTCTTGGAGGTGTCACCGACAGATGGTAGTGCACTGCTGTCTTCACCGACAGATGGTAGTGCACTGCTGTCTTCACCGACAGATGGTAGTGCACTGCTGTCCTCACCGTCAGGTGGTAGTCCACTGCTGTCCTCACCGTCAGATGGTGGTGCACTGCTGTCCTCACAGACAGTTGGCAGTGCACTGCTATCTTCTCCGACAGATGGTAGTGCACTGCTGTCTTCACCGACAGATGGTAGTGCACTGCTGTCTTCTCCGACAGATGGTAGTGCACTGCTGTCCTCACAGACAGATGGTAGTGCACTGCTGTCTTCACCGACAGATGGTAGTGCACTGCTGTCTTCTCCGACAGATGGTAGTGCACTGCTGTCCTCACAGACAGTTGGTAGTGCACTGCTGTCTTCATAGACAGATGGTAGTGCACTGCTGTCTTCACCGACAGATGGTAGTGCACTGCTGTCTTCACCAACAGATGGTAGTGCACTGCTGTCCTCACCGACAGATGGTAGTGCACTGCTGTCTTCACAGACAGATGGTAGTGCACTGCTTTCTTCACAGACAGATGGTAGTGCACTGCTGTCCTCACCGACAGATGGTAGTGCACTGCTGTCTTCACAGACAGATGGTAGTGCACTGCTGTCTTCACAGACAGATGGTAGTGCACTGCTGTCTTCACAGAAATATGGTAGTGCACTGCTGTCTTCACAGACAGATGGTAGTGCACTGCTGTCCTCACCGACAGATGGTAGTGCACTGCTGTCTTCACAGACAGATGGTAGTGCACTGCTGTCTTCACAGACAGATGGTAGTGCACTGCTGTCTTCACAGACAGATGGTAGTGCACTGCTGTCTTCACCGACAGATGGTAGTGCACTGCTGTCTTCACAGACAGATGGTAGTGCACTGCTGTCTTCACAGACAGATGGTAGTGCACTGCTGTCTTCACAGACAGATGGTAGTGCACTGCTGTCTTCTCTGACAGATGGTAGTGCACTGCTGTCTTCACAGACAGATGGAAGTGCACTGCTGTCTTCACAGACAGATGGAAGTGCACTGCTGTCCTCACCGTCAGATGGTAGTGCACTGCTGTCTTCACAGACAGATGGTAGTGCACTGCTGTCTTCACAGACAGATGGTAGTGCACTGCTGTCTTCACCGACAGCTGGTAGTGCACTGCTGTCTTCACCGACAGATGGTAGTGCACTGCTGTCTTCACAGACAGCTGGTAGTGCACCGCTGTCTTCACCGACAGATGGTAGTGCACTGCTGTCTTTACCGACAGATGGTAGTGCACTGCTGTCTTCACCGACAGCTGGTAGACAGTCATCGTCCGGGCGGAACATAATCTTCCCGATAAGGACGAGCTCGACTAGCGCCAGTGAGAGACACATGAAGGCCTCGCGCCACACTTGGTAATGCGTCAGCTCCGGCAGCAGGCACCTGAGGTACTGCACGCGGTTGCCCTGCAGCAGCAGCCGGTACAGGGTGCCGAAGACAGGCACCCTCGCCCAGGGACTCCTGTCCAGGACACCGTCCCTGACCCGGCTGGGGAAGACCGACCCCAGCAGGGGCATGGAGGACACCAGGCTCCTGAAGCTGCCCTCCAGCGTCCGGAGCTGCCACAGTTCGTCATCCACGCCCCACATGGACGGGTGCCAGGTAGATCCTTCCTGCCGGCGCCGA